AGTTTTCTATGGAAGTTGAAATACACTAGAAGAATGAAGGATAATCTACACCAGGCCTAATATAATTTCATCAACCGATATCTTAGTTCTGTGAGTAAATTTTGAGGCATTAGTTAGTTTATTGCCATATTGTATGATCAGTATTTTTGGGTATAATGACTTGTTACGTCAAAACTAGCCACTTTTATTCATCCTCTTCACTTGAGTGGTTAAGAATTTCAATGGTTGTCAATAAGACATATTATCAATGGTAATTACTTTGATGGTTCATTTATTGGGGCTATTTCTGGAGTCAACTATCGGTTCTACATTCCATTTTTATTGATTTATTAGATTTCTCATACAGTCGAACAGTACTGTTCATCGGATTACGTTTCGGACATAATCTTTTTGTCCATATTCATATCAAGTAACTTCATATCACTGAGACATCCTTCACATGATTCGTATTTCTTTGCCTCCTTTGTGATATGAATGGTTAAGTTTCTCCAGGTATCCGAGACAGGAGTGCAGTCATTCCTGTTGCATATGTTAGGTGTTGGTTTGCTAACGAAGATTCAGTTGTTAATCTCTCCCTCCACCCCACTAGGTTAGTTTTAAGGATTTTCACTCTATCCCGTCCTACTGTGTCTTTGTGTGCAATCTCATCAGAACTATTGTCGAGTTCTGGGTTTCTTATCATTCTAGGATGTAGCTGGGTTTTTGTTCTTGGATAGCCTAACTGAGCCTAGCTGACTATTTTGACCGATGTATTTGACCTCACAATCACTGCAAGAGATTTGGTAAACTAAATTATTCCGGCTAGTTGGATCAAATGGATCTTTTAACCTACTAAGCTTATTTCGAGGTGAGTTTGTAGATATAAATTCCACTCTAATCTCAGCCTTCTTGAGAATCCTACGTAGTGTTTCTGAGTTGCCTTCTCTGCATGACAAAACTGCGGATGCTTTAAATTCTCCCTTCACAGTATTGGCACTACACTTATTAACATTGCTAGGTAAAATACATAGGTCAAACTAGTGGATCAGGGTGAATTAGGCTATCCTACCACAAAAACCTAGTTAGATTAAAATCGGTAGATCCCAGTAAGACTAGGAATCTGGAAAAAAGCTCAACCATAGCTGTAGATGCAATTACTCACAACCGCAAATTAGCACGTGAAACAGTGAAAATCCTTAAAACTAACCTAGTGGGGTGGAAGGAGAGATAGATGACTGAATCTTTGTTTATCGAATCAACATCTAATACACGAAACGTGAATGAGTCAGTACCTGTTTGGGATAGATGGAAAATCCAACTACCCATATCACAAAGGGAGAGGGGAAATTAGGAATATATAAAGAATATCTTAAAGTTGTGTAGTTGTCTTGACATGCCTATGAACAATAAATTTTGTCTGAAATGTAATTCAGTAAACGAATGTGTGACAAATCTAATAAATCAATTAAAATGGAATTGAATTTCGAGGGAGTTGTGGAGATTTGGAAATATTTCAAGTTGTTTTTCATCGTAGACTGACATCAGCTGGAGGAACAAAAGAAACCTGGGAGCAATGGACAGCTATTTCATCCTATCGTTGGACTCCTCATCAGTGCGCCTCCATAACTTCACACTTCCAGGGATCGAACTCAGGGCCTTCAGGTTTCGTGGTCAGCATGATACCATTGAGCCAGTGGGTTGGAATTCAATGGTCTGAATTTCCTACTTCTATCAGTTCACGATGTAGCCCAAACTCCATCCAATGTTATCACTATCCAGTGTTCCCAGGTTTCTAATGTTTCTCCAACTGATGTAATTCCGTCATGAATTTCAGCCTGAAATCAATTAATAAATCTTCACAAACCTCTTTTTTAGGCTTTAGATAGATTATTGCAGTGTGTTTATGGAGCATCATGACGGTTATGCTTTAAAACTATTGCGAATCGCCTTCAGCCTTGTTAAATACCATGATTAGTGCGAAATTCCCGTGGATTTTCGGTGTGTATCAAAGACAATGTCACTACTGAGTTCAGTGCCAAACCTAAATTAAAAGTTTTTTAATGAGGTTATAAAAGTTTCATTGTTGGTTTCAAGGATGAAACAGATTCGCGAGTGTCGCCGAAATATGCATCTTCGGTAGTACTTCTAGTCAGTGCCCAAAAGTGACACGAATATCGAAGGTAGTGACTAGTGTAAACAGGATTGTAGATACTTTTTATGGGTCATGATTCCACGAATAACTGCAGGGATATTTATTGAAATTTTTTTCCCCTTTTATGCTACGAATTTGTATCTGTTTGCATAAATGACTCTTATAAGTCTTGGGTTCGAGACTGCGTTTAAATTCTTCAAGTCTCCCAAACTATTGGTTTTAGCATCAGTGTCATATCATTCAGTAGTGATTTGTTCCAAGAAAACTAAGCTTCCAGAAGTTATTCAACATAAACAACAAAGTTGATAATGAAGATGAATATACGGGACTATTATTCTGTATCCATCTTTGATATTAAAGTCTCTAAAGTGAAAGTAATTTATTTAGCATAAAATAAGCCAAATACTTAAACTGCTATAAACTCTTTAACTAAGACACAACAGTCAGGGCGTAATCCGCACAAAGCAGATATTTGCTTAACCTTCACAAACTAACTTAATAATAGGAATTCAAACTGGTCAGATTTTCGCAGTGCCAAAATTTACGTCAACAAAAAAAACCTAATATTCCCTAGGAATTGAGGTGAAAACGTTTGTTTTTCCTCTAAGCCAGTTTTACACTTCAGGTGAGCATTACAATAATCATAGTTAGAGTCAGTATACTTCATTCATCTGTTGAAAGGTAAATTTAAGGAAAACTAAGAATTCCACAATTTAATTGACTAAATATTTTTCATGTTTTACACGTAATTTCAAGTTAGTTTTCATTGTGAACCGACCGATATACCACAAAATTTGAGACTGCAATTTACTGAATACGTAAACCAAATCGTACAATCCACGTCCGCTAAGAAACGAATATTACTACTGAAGAGTTTAGATGGTAAAGTTCCCCAATGTAAATCTCCGAAAAATCCAGAAAAGCATGTTTATAATTATCCTAGTTCTATACTCAATAAATTACATATGGAAGTTCCATCCCTTGGGAATAAGTTTTGCGTCTTTCTCAAGCAAATTAACCAAACCGATATAAATGTAAAACTTAAGCTTCTATTTACACAAACAGCCTATTTGATTGCATCATCTAGTGCAGAGTTGGAAAGATTTAAATCAACTCTAGGGGACTACTGCTATCAGTACAAAACAGTAAAACTGAAAGATAACGGATACATTTCATCAACCTTATTTGAAAATTTGAAGCCTATACGCAGTACGATTCCACGAATGTCTGGTCTACCAAAAATATACAAACCTGAAGTGCCTCTTCGTCCCATACCAGACATGACCAACTCGCCTTACCACGCTATCGTTAAATGGCCAGTAAGATTACTTCAACCTTTTCCTGACCAATTAGTAAAATATAACGTGAGCGATACCTTCCAGTTTGTAGACAAAATAAAAAACTTGAATGTTTTGCATAAAGGCATGGGATCCCTAGATGTCACATCTTTGTTTACTAACATCCCTCTAATGGAAACCATAGACTTCATTTGGGAAAAATTATTAGAAAGAAAATTAGACATCGGCATTCTGACTATGAATTCGAAAGAACTATTGCTAAAGTGTACTATGAATGTCCAGTTCATCTTCAACAAGTTGATGGAGTGACTATGGCATCTCCACTGGGACCAATATTTGCAGACATATTTTTAGCAAAATTACAAAATGGTCCTTTAAAGGACCAAATTGCTAATATATGGAATTGTACTATCGATACATGGATGATAATTTTTTAGTCTTTCATAAGCGCATATTCATTAATTCCATTCTGAACCATTTCAACAGTGTTCATCCATCAATTCACTTTACATACGAAAATGAAATTAATGATTCCATACATTTTCCTGAAATGTTAATGACAAGAAACAACAATGGCTCTATACTACTGTGTATCCATGATATTCTAAATGAAAACGGATATCCGGATAAGTTCATCTAAACTAACATCAACAACCTTGGTCCTAAACGAGAACTGATGACAGCGGAGGAGAAGTCTTTGTTTCTGCCCTTACAATTCAAGGGAGAGGTTGCAACGCTTAGCTAGAGCAGTCAACAGGACGTTTTACGCGGGTTGGCTTTGCATATCATTCAGTAGTCAGTCAATGCTCAATCCGAAACTAAAGAATAACCTACCTAGTCTTAGCTCTTCATCCTACATATATCAATTTAACTGTTCCTGTGGAACACGTTACATACGACGTAGGATTTAGGCAGGTGCACCTCCGGATACGACCGTATTTACCAGCTTGGTTCGGAAATGGTGAAGTGAAAGTAGTGAAAAGTTCAGTCCTAGCGCATCTAGTCGACACATGACATCACATAGATGCTAATCAAGCTTTCAATGTCAGTCATTGTGTTCCAAAAACTACACCACATGTAGCTCACTAACGCCTGCTCAACAGCCGAAGGCTATGGCAATAAGATTGATCAAGCCTGAACTCTGCATTCAGAAATATCATGTCTAAGCGTTACTTCTCCCTTGGCCTTCAGCAAACTAAAGGCCACTCCTGACATATAATTCGTTATCTTTCTGTTCACCATCATATCATTCTTCTGTATATGTATCATTCCAATAGTGACTAATTTAAAAAAGATGAATGAATTTCTTTACAGTCCCTAGATCTCACTCCATTTTGGAAATGTAACTGCCCTTAACCCAGCTTATTTTTACGGTGTACAAATGTATTTCTTGATTGTAGAACCTGAAAAGAATTTATTGAAAAGAGTATTCTCCGTTGTTCAGATTATTGGTTCTTAGAAATATTATGGGATTACTTAGTTATTTCAAAATCTTACAAATAAATGTTCATCTAAATGGATGAAGTATTTGAAAAGACCAACGAAGAATAAAACAAAAAGAAGAAGGTGGAACAAAGTTTTGATAGAAAGAATGGCTACTAATCACTTTCTAGTTCTAACTCTAATGCAGGACACCATATCTGATTTTTCGCTCTAAGTGATCTAGTCTTGCTGGTATTGTTATCATTACTGTCAGTGTTATTGATACCGGTATGTGTATAAATTCCCTGTTCAGTTAAATCACTATTCAAACAAATCTCATTTATTCCTCTTTGTGCATAATCATATGTGTTGTTCAGTTTTGTTTGATGCAGGATTTTACTATTTTGCATTGAAACACTGAACCCCACTGAAGAAGAAGTGTACAGAGTATTGGATGTCCCATGTATGCCTTCCTCCGCTGACTTTTGTTGAGTGAAAGATACTTTTGGAGGTGAAAGTGGTTGTACTAGAATTTTTTGATGAAGCTCATCATTATCAAAATTGTTTACTTCCTCTTCTTCTTCTTCTCCTCCCTCTTCATCATCATTTTCTTGGTGTTCATGATCACATGATGAAAAACCATCGAATTTTTGTTGTTTCTGTTTTCGTAAAGCCATTACATCGCGTTCAAGCTCTTCAGCCTCTCTTTTCAATTTAGCGCGACGATTTTGAAACCATGTAATCACCTAGTGATAAATAGAAACAATATAGATCTGTTTCAATAATCAATTGATACTAGAAACAAACGTTAAAATACAAATATTTTGCGCCAAATTTCAAATTACGTGTACTTCTTCAAATCTTCACTATTAAGTTAGACATCTTGTTGACATATCTTTACCGGGGACTATTGAAATCATTCTACAAATGATTTACAGTGAATACAGATGAAATAAAAATGTCTTATTTTGATTTTAATATTTCTCAATGAATTGAAAATAAAACAAACGATAAAATCTTAACTTGCTGTAGATAATATGAGATAAAAACTTCTGGTGTCTAAGTGACTTACTCCTCACCTAACTTTTAGATCCGAATTCAGTTGTGAAATTGTAACTTACTTACTGCTAACCTTCAAGGCTATAGGCGATTTTACCTACAGCGTGGTTGGTGTGCACATTTCAGAAGTCACAAGTTTCCTATGTTTCTTCAAAAGATACCAGTGTATTATGAAAGTTACTTCGAAATTAGTAAGCCCTTTAATCTCCATAAGACACAAAATTAAAGTTGCTATGGCCATTCTGACAGCATACTAAATTGGATTCGTTAATCAATCTTTTTTCTTATTTGTCCCTTGGGTTCCTGGTGGAATATAGGCCTTCAGTAGCACGTCACCATTTCACTCTCTTCTCTACAGTCATTTGAACCTGCCTCCACGACTGAACATAACCTTTCATTTCTTCCTCACATCATCTCCTCCATGTCACCCCTCACCTCAGACGCCCAATTCGTCGTTTCTCAATTAGGTTCCACTCGAGGGCATTACCTAGACTGGTGCATGCTGTCCCCAAATGGTTTTCTCATTGTATACCCAATCCATCTCCATATTCTTCTTCTGCATATTTGTTGGGCGATAGCTTCTTGTTTGGTTGGTTCGTTGTGAAGCCAGAGTTCCTTGTTGCTCATTCTTATTATTCTGACCATCCATCTGATCTTCAGCATCAAGTGAGCGTGGGCGGCAGCTGTTGGTGATGTATGTCTGCAGTTCGTTGCAAATGCTTTTCATAATGCTCCAAGTCTCTCAACCATCACATACAAGTACTGACTTACTTGACTGACATTAGAGTTGGAAATCCGGGTGTTGTTCATGCTTTATGCTGAGTGCAGTGCAGTGCAGTAAATCTCCATCCTGATTTCAGATTATTGAGGAAAGGGCTATCTTGCTATCTTTCGGATTCTGGCTTGCTTTGACATCCTCATTTGTGCCGCCACCTACAGTTGAAACGATGCTGCCTAGGTAACTAGGTGAATATTTTCACCCTTTACATTCCTCTCATTGATGGTGATTGGTACTTGTTGTTGCTATTGTTGTTGATTGCGTATCTTCGTCACCTCTGTCTTCTTTAAGTTCAAGTGAAGGAAGTCCCATCTTTGCTCCCCTGCCTCTTCAACCAACTTGTTGGTTTTCGTCTGTAGGTCTTTGAGTTTGTGCTACAAGACGTTAGACATAAATCTTTATGGGCGAAATCCAAATCTCCTAGCGTCTTTTCATCAGTCAAACAATGTATGCCCATCTTCTCACAGCTACTCACAGTTTCTTGCATGATCCAGTCTAGTCCAATCGACCACAATCACGAAGATCATCAGTGATGATAGTAGGCAACCTCGTCTTGTCTTACTCCTGTCTTCACTTCAAATGCATCACTGAGCTTTCCACTGTCAATCAATTGGTATGTAGCATCCTAATATAGCATGGTGTTACAGCTGTTGAATGAGATTGATAAGTGTTTGTGGCACTAAAACCGTAGTGTTGAAGCAGCAGCTGGCAAATTACTTCTCTGTCGACGCCTCGATTGAAGGCCTTTTTAAGGTCGAGGAATTTGGTGTGAAGAGTTGACTCCATTCTATGCTTTGTTCTATGATGATGCGTAGCGTAGCGTTGAAATTCGATCCGCACATGATTTGTTTTTTCTGAAGCCAGCCAACCTGTTTCAGTCGTAATTTTGAATCCAGGGCATTTTTTAGTCTCTCCAGGATGATGTAGCTTAATATTTTGTTTGGGGTGGACAGGAGCATATCATTTAATCTAAATTCTTGCATACAGATTTCTTTATAAATTTGGATAAAGCAAAAAAGACTGGGAAGAGGGCGTCAGTTTGGTTTACTGAGGACATCGAACAGAATCTGTGCTTGAAAAGAAACGAACTTCTTACGAACACAGTCGCCTCGTTTATACAGGATATCAGGCTGAAACCTCTAGAACTCATAAAATAATAAACGTAAAGAAATCTGTCTGGATCACTGTGGTTGGTAGAAGCGATTGCTGTGGAACGCTTTCAACGTGATCTCTGCACACGGAAGGAGAGTGTGGTCAGTCTCCCTTTTTCATAGTGAGTATAGTTTGATCTTGTTTCTTTTTAGTTACATAATTCTTCACTTCACTCACTTACTGTGTAATTGTTCCTTTCTTAAATTTCTTACCCTTCTGTAAAATTAAACTTCCAACATGTTGAATAGATCATCAGTGGTGTTGGTGTGCAACCTGAGATCAATGATTTCCTAATTTAGAAATATCTTATCTGCTAATAACCCTTGTATGTAGCTGAAGTCGATGAGACTACTGATAAAATTAGTTAGTAGTAATCTATCTTCCTTTTTTCATCCATTTGTTCTTTAGTTTATGGATTCACTTATTCGCTTATTGATATCATTAACATAAAAGGAGAGAAGAGAATAACCACTTTTGTTTTGGCCTACATAAGTAATAAATTTCTATCTCATATCCCCCCTGTTTCTTTCTGTTTCTCTGCTCACTTTGACCAAAGGTTACTTGTTATGATGCGGAGTAGTGAGAACGAGCAATAATACTTAACGATTGGTAGTCTAGGTTTAAGATGGCTCAGTCTGAATGATTCACAAATAGAAATCAAAAGACTGGAAATCAGCTGAGTTTATAGTATCTCGGACTGAAAACGTTTATCAGTGAGAACGGACCCTATTTATCATAGAACAAAGCATAGAATGGAGTCAACTCTTCACACCAAATTCCTCGACCTTAAAAAGGCCTTCAATCGAGGCGTCGACAGAGAAGTAATTTGCCAGCTGCTGCTTCAACACTACGGTTTTAGTGCCACAAACACTTATCAATCTCATTCAACAGCTGTAACACCATGCTATATTAGGATGCTACATACCAATTGATTGACAGTGGAAAGCTCAGTGATGCATTTGAAGTGAAGACAGGAGTAAGACAAGACGAGGTTGCCTACTATCATCACTGATGATCTTCGTGATTGTGGTCGATTGGACTAGACTGGATCATGCAAGAAACTGTGAGTAGCTGTGAGAAGATGGGCATACATTGTTTGACTGATGAAAAGACGCTAGGAGATTTAGATTTCACCGATGATGAAACCCTATAACTTTGAAAGGCAAGGAATAATTAATACATTTAAAGAAGCAGAAGCCAATCAGAACACTGGAGGGTCATACGAAATATGACCCATGTGCGGGAAGAGGAGAGTGAAGTAAAACATTTCATATATACCCAAACTGTAAGTATGGAATGTATGGGATATAAACATCCCTGAGCATTACATACATGTAAGCATATTTACTCCTTGTTTACATGTAGTTACACAATCATGAGAGTAGTATATTCCTTCAATGCATGCACGAACTCTTCTTATTAACAACGTCTTGGCGATCAAATTTGTATACTTATCGGCACCAGAATAGTATTTATTGTTAGATAGCTGTTAAAAGTTGTTAATTATGCAAGATGTTGGTTGACAAATGCAGCGCAGACATTGTACAATGCCATTATTTATACGCACCACATCGGTCCATACAAGCAAGATACAATGATGTTTTTGCATACAGAAGCGCTTGAAGCCGTTGGTCTTAGTGGGGAGAGGAAAGAAATCACTCGCTGGGAGTGGAATACATCCTGCTGGTGAGTCTCAAATAGGACGAAACCTTCAAAGTTGGGAAAGACTGTATGGTATTATCATAGATAGTCGCAGAATTGCTACTTATGTACAGTTTGAAGTAACTTTCCTCAACCCGACATCTAGGAAATCTCTTTACACCTAACGGTAGAGATACAAAGTGTAGGTGAAGCATGTCAAAGCGAAGCTTATAGTGTTAACCTAAGCTTCATTCTCAGAAGATATCGCTTTCCATAGTATACCACTAGTCCTTTTGTTTTCAATGAACGCTCAAAATATAACCCAAAGTTGTGTATTCCTAAGCTATTTGGACAACCTGAGTTTACTAGGTATGATCTAAGAGACAACAAAGTGAGAAAACTGGGGAACTTTTTTGAAGTATTCAAAAGTTGAGTAGAATTGTTTAAATGCATTCACAACTCACCTAACTTCATCTTTATCTTATGAAATTTTTCTAAAATTTTATTGTTCTCTTCCATTAAAATACCGAACAAGACAAACGTAAGTACCAGTGACCTAGTAGAAAACTCTTTTGGCGTCTAAGGCAATGGGTGTTGGGTTTGATTCTAATTGAGAACTCCCTTACTCACTGGAGTGCAGGTACACTCAGGTAACTAGTTCCGAAATAGGACGAAACACGAGTCCTGGCTTCCACTACTAGCCATCATCAAGTTAACCACAACATGATGAATTTTCAGGCAATATTGAGGTATCTGCATTGAAGCCTGTCTGGCACTAGAGGTCGAGCAATTCTTCGTGGTACAGTAATAGGGAGCAATAGGCATCAACGAACAATACGTCAAAACCGCCTAGTAAAAGTATCAGTCTAACAACCCTCAAGTTGTAGGAAATCTCTCCTAGGACACAAGCATGTGTGTTACAGCTGAACGCAGAATCACGAGATGGTTTCACATTTCATTCTACCTAGCATTCATAGATCAAATATTATCATAGATATGTCATTCATCAGACTACCATGACACAGACAGAAGGAAAATGATTATTGAAACTCTTTCTCTGCACTGTCATTTGATAATTATAGTATCTTGTTGATATACGGAGTCTAATTGCTCGACTTCTGTTGCGAGATTAGTTCCGGCTGACAAGTCCCAAATGGGACGAAATACACATCTTGGATTTCCCTGTTAGTCAACAAAAAAACTTCCAATGTATTCACTTAATTGTTGGTCAGATAGGAATCCAAGCTAATGTATGCATAACAAGAAACCAGAAACAGAAATTACTTGAAGTACAATTAACTTAACTGTGAGACCTAATCTTCAAACTGTGTTGAACCACTGATCTCTGTCTTATAATAGTGGCTAAAACAACAGGAAGAATTTTATTAATATAAGATGTAAAACTTGGGCACTGTGGTAGAATTTAATTCCATATTAGATTTGTTTATTTGATTTATATGATCTAGTATTATTTACTTGATGACGTTTCGAGCATAAATTATCACTGCTCATAATCATATCATTGTAATCACACTCCACTTTCGATATCTGATTTTTAAAGTTCTTTCACCTCTCATTCTTTATTTTTGTTAGTAGTAAAACTTTCCAAATCTCTGGTATAGATGTTGCGTCATTTCTATTACATGTGTTGAGTGTTGATTCGATGAACAAAGATTCAGTAGTCAATCTGTCTCCATCTAATTAGATGGAGAGAGAAAAATGACGCAATGCCTATACCAAAGATATGGAAAATTTTGCTACCAATAAAAACAACTCATATAATGTGACGTAACTATAAAAATCAAATGTCGAAAGTGGAGTGTGATTACATTGATATGATTATGAGCAATAATAATAATTTATGCTTGAAACGCCATCCAGTAAACCATTCTGTGTCACACTGTGTTATAAATCAAATAAACAAATCTAGTATGGAGGAAGAATTTTAGCCTAAGATGCTGGTGACAGTTGTCTACTACCGTCTTAGATTTGAAATTTGGTCACTAATACCCGGAAATACTAATTAGCACCGTCTTTCTCATCACTTCAACCCATTTGAAAAACCTACCCATAGTTCAAATTTTAATACTATTCTGTATGATAAGATTCCCCAAGGATTCATTTAGAGACAGAGGTCAATCTCATAAAGGCAGCTGTCTCGTCATTAAATATCTTCCATTTCCAAGTAAACTAGTAAGGCTTTGAACTTAAAACATCTGAAGAAATTAGTGAAGATTTTCAGCTTAAAATGTTCCTTAGTCTGTCAAAAAAAAACTCATGAAACGTCAAACCTGGAATCCAAACCGATGCTTGGAAATTACACTCACTTTGTGATGAGAAATCTCATTGCTGCTTTTTATTGACACCAAAATATTCCGATCACGTAATGTGATGTGCTTGATACTGTAATTGGCTTTAGGTGTGTGAACATCAAAGCTACATGAAATATACTACTGAATAACATTAAAAAAACCATAGATCACTCTCAATCATGAGCAGATAAATATGATGTGAACACCGAATGATTGTTTTACTCGCTTTGGACAGAACTGATCACCGGTGCGTCTGGATTACTTTGGTTCTTCATTTGATTTCTAACGTGTTATCATGGATTGACATCAACTGGGGAATCGGTGAAAGTAAGTTTCGTCCTAGTATGCGACTCCTCAGCAGCATACAATTAAGTGGATAGTTGCACCAGATCGTGAACTGACAGAATCAGGAGTTATGGATTGTTGGATTCTGACCTAGTGACTCAACGGTAACGTGCTGACCACATGATCTGAAAGTGCTGAGTCCAACCCCTGGCGGGGTCATCAGTGCACACTACTCAGGAGTCAGATACTGGGATGAAACAGCTGTCCAATACTCCCAGTTTCTCAATGGTTTTCCAGTTGATATCATTCCATGATGAATACTTCCTTGAAATAAATAGCATCCTTATAAACCTTAAAATAGATAATTTACTTACTTGTGTATTAGTTAATCCTAAGTGTTTTGCAATTCGATCACGATCAGATGGTGTTAAATACTTTTGACGATTGAAATTATTCTCTAATTCATTCAACTGAGAGTTGGAAAACGTTGTTCGAGTTTTACGTCGTTTACGTGTTTGTGATACTTTATTATAGAATTGTATTGAAGATTGTTCATGAAATTCATCTGTCATAGAAGATATATAAAACAGAGAACAAAGGAATGAGAAATAGGCGATAGCTGAAATAATGGCTTATGCTATAAGAGTGCAAAATTATACTACTCAGTAGTTATCAATGATTGGATGGATGTAGCAATAAGTATTGTGTGTGGTGGTGACTTTGAAGGCCATCCTAACAACTATTGAGGTAACCAGTTGAATTCTGTATTTCATGGAAAACTACCCTACCAACCAAAAGACCGAAACCTGATTGACTTTGAAACTACATATTACAACCTAATAAGAAGTGGCCTGAATGGAGATCAACATTTTAAGTCATCAGCCACTAAGGTAGAATGTTTTGCATTTCAAGGTTTATTTCATATCACAGTGTGGTCAGGAAAAACCTTATTGGTCAGTTTGCCTTGCGGTTGGCCAATTAAAATAAGTTATTTAACTTTTGACCTAATGGCTTAATATGTTGATAAAAACTGTATATAAATGATGGATTTTTATCGAATAAAGTTTCATCCTTATAGTCACAGGTTAATATCTTTGCCTTCTGGTTTTCGCTGCTCAGTGAAGTAAGATGTATTGATGGAGAAAAGTCTCTATGAATATCCAGTTTAAGTGTTTCATAGATTTTGTATTCTTTGTATGTTTCTCATCATTCATTCAATCACTTCACAACCGAAAGTGTAACATAATCATGAAAAAAAGAAGCAGTTTTTAGTTTATTTTGTTCAGATGGTTCTACTGACAAAATCTTTACCATTGCGATCTTACCGCCATGTAAAAACAGCATTGAATTCAAACGCATGTTCATCGATCCAGTACAGGATGCTCTCGACTCAAATAGCCTAATGGTATCGTTGCTAACTGTATTATTGGACGAGGTGGATTCCTATCTCAGACGTGACATCAGTTCCCATGTGGTTGGAGATACACTTTTGTTGATGGGTGGCAACAAGTATGAAACGTACATGAGGCAGTGGCATTTAAGTGCAACAATAGTCAGCAGGAACTTGATTCAGTTATTTCTTGATGTATTGGAATAACTGAGCAGTTAGGCATATCAGTCATTCTGTATCATCTCTAAAGTATAAACTGGTTTGAAAAATGTAAAAAATAAATTACTGGCTGACATGAGTCATTGCAGTCTACTCAAGTTAATAATCAGTGGTATACGGAGGGGCTTTCAGAAACAAGAGTGTAACAAATTCGATACTCCTGGATGCTCTTGGAATTGCTGCAAAGAAGACAATCAGATAATTCTATACAGAGATGAATACACAGAAAACCTGTATGGACCAGACAATTTATGAACTTCCAAAGCCGTATCTATCTCAGAACTTTGTAGGTTCGTTATATTCAGTGATTCAGAAGATCTTTTTAGAAGACTCACTAAATAATGTAACCTTCTACATAAAAGCAAAGTCATAAATACAAAAACTACTGACCACCTCAAAGAAAATTCTGTATATGAACCTGGGATTCAAACATGAAATAGCAGCTAAAATCATCAAAATCGTCTTTTAAGATCTCTGAGGAAGACATTTCATGTAGCTAGATTGAGAACCACATTTCCCAGTAAACAAGTAATCAATCATTTCATTAAGGGCGGTATACTGCTTTCGGTCACATCAACGTGCATTTTTTGATTTACTGGTTTTTGTGGAACAATGTACACTACTCTTGCACAGCGTCAACTTTATAAGTGTATTCTGGAACATTTTTGAGCTTGATTATCCAGGGGGAAAAACATCGACAGTTCTATTCTTCAACGCTGTCATCTCCGAACATCTCGTCCATCGTAGTAGTTCATTCTTCCGACGATTCCAAAGGCATTCAACTGCTTCATCCACTCATAGCCGGATCATTGATGATTTATAACCTTAAACCTTGTCTTTCCATTGAAAAACATTACACTCAACAGCCTTACTCTTCAACAAGTAACTCTAAAGGTCACCCTAACCGGAAAGCTTATTTCTTCATCAAATGCAAAACTGTAATTGGTTGCTTCATTAGTTATTATGGTGGCCATTCGGATCACTCCTATTAAATATCATAGTAATTACATGATCCTATTGATTAGTAATAGAACACTATTGATTTCTAAGGATTCAAAATGTAGTTTACAGGTTCATGAGAATTTATTAGTTTCAGGTTGGTATTTTATCACAAACTGGTATCAGTTGGAGAACCATAGAGAACTTGGGAGCACGAAACAGCTTTTTTATCTTAGTATAAAAGTATGTAGTACGCACTCATGACCCCACAACCTTCAGGTTTCATGGTGAATACCTTACCACTGATCCACTGGGTATACATTCAAGAGTTCACTGTTGTACGGATTTGGTGAGTGCGATAATCACAGGTTTCATTTGAAAATATCTACAGAGATATCACGTGGAAAGGTCTAACCTTTTGCCTTATAAATGTTGTCTACCGAAGAGTTGGTTTCCAGTTTAAGCGATAATAATGTCATTGTATAGTTTAACAAAATGTTGAGGAACTTTTCCTAACTGGAACTTGAAATTACACTAATATTGCGGCATTATAGTCAACTTATATTTCAAGTTATACAAACCGCCTGTCTTTTTATTAACTGAATCCTTTCTCTTATCATATAGGGAAAAATTCCAGGCAATTTTTCAAAGTAATAGATTTTTAGTGACTGTAATAAATGTAATTCAATAGGGATAATTACATATATCTATTTATCAAATGGTACCCATTAAGGTCGTTTGATTCAACTTATGAAAAATTAGTTTATTCTTCACTAATAATAGTAAACATGTGGTGCAGATCATATCGGTGTAAATATGCATTCCACTTCTTGAATCCACTCTCACAATTTTCTATACATTACACATATATCATGCTTAAATGAAGGCTTTTATTTTAAGACTTGCGCTAATTGAATCTATTGAATGCTGTTCAGAAAAAAAACGATTCAATTTCATAACTTTTCTACACTTCATAAGAAATGTATATATCAAAAAATATACATTAAAGATAAGAAATATTCTTTTTCTTCTAGGTTATTTTTTCTCTTACTGGTTTGTTTTAACAGGCATTATGGAGTTATTGAAGTAAAAAAAACACCAATGTTAATGATTACGTTCAGGAGGTTCAATATAGATGTTTGAATATATCTTTGATAAAATGCCATTTTATACTGTACGCGTTATGATTTTGTTTTAAAACTATTCACAAACAGTTGTTTATTCTATTGAATAATAATGAAACATTGGGTCATAAATTTCGTTTACAAACAAATATATTTCTACCTACATGAGTTTATCTAATCAGAATGGGAAAATTTCAGTTAGCATTAGAAACTATGGAGTTATGTAAATTTAAGCAGCAATATAACGTCCAGTATGTATAATTATGATTATGTGAGGATAATATAGATTTGTTTTGGACAAAATAGTACTGTATATTAAGTATTAACTGAACAAACTTCGTTTATATGACCCTCTTCTGTTGTGTTTGCACTGGTAACTAACTGTTCAATAGTTCAATGTAGAACTGCTTTGTTACTATTGTTTCATTCATGTGTGAAATAAACGTATGAAGAAGAAAATAGCATTTCAAGTTCTCAGTATACTACTAAAACTGACTGTAATTAGTAGTATAACTACTTATATGTAAAATAAATCCAGTCTTTTATGTATATACAAACGAAGACTGATTACTATGTCGTAACTAATCAATTAAAACAAAATATAATTATCTCGACTGAACAGTTGGTTTCTTCTATATAGTGGTAACATTTTCTGATGTTGTTTCAGTGGTAGTGATAGTCGTTGTCAATATCAACTGACTGAAAAGAAGAAAAATATTCTCCTTACAAGTAAAACAAAAAGTTAATTAGAGATCCTAACATTAATAAGTTTTAATATAATCTACAGTGTGTTTAGTCAATCAAAACAAGATTTTTCTCAATGTTTCGTTGTGTATATCACAGCTTCTTCAACAGAATAATTAGAAATGCGTGAAGTCAGTGTATGCAGCATTGTAATCAATAAATAGGTTGGTTTAAGATTGGCATTCATGATGGCCTGACATCAGTTGGGGGAGCATTGAGAACGTCGGAGCACTGGATAGCTAGCTGTCTCTTTCCGGTATGAGACTCCTCAGCAGTGTGCACCCATAACCCATATTTCTTAACATGGTGCGACCACAATGAATACATTTACCTATTCCTGGTAAACGTTGATAAACAAGCCTACTCTCATGCTTCAAGTTCTTCAAATTGTTGTTAATTTGGACGTATAGTGAAAACAATCATGTAACAACATGTTATCGCTGGGATTTACTGGTTTCAAGTTGGAGTTTGAGAACCACTAGAAAACTAGAAGCGCTAGACAACTGTTTAAACCCTGTATAAGACTGTTAGGCAGCGCACACCCACAACCCCATCAGGGATCAAAAGAACGACTTCCAGGTTTCATGGCAGGTACGTCACTATCAAGCCACTACGTTAGAGTATAATTGTCTACACTTTCCTACTTCTCTCAGCTCATGATATAGTGTGACTTACGTCCAATGCCATCTTTGAATATTCACTGAATTACCGTCCACTACGCATTACTGACTTTCTTCGTGATGATATTTCTCGAAATTCCACTGAGAAGTTGTGACCGGTAGGGTAGACCAATTCGCACGTGAAGACTCGCTGATGGCATTGGGTAGTAGTCACGGTATGTCACTCATTGACAAAAGTATGAAGCTGTGAAGTGTTGAACGCATACTTAGTAGCTGAAGGTTGTAGGTTCGATCCCTAGCATGGTTATGGGTAAGGACTCCAGAGAGGAGTGCCATCATAAGACCCAATAGCTGCTCAGTTCTCCTGGATTCAAAATAGTTCTTCGCGTTATGTAGTCCATGATGGAAACCAACTTGAAAGCAAAATCTTTTGTCCACTTATTCACCTACATCATCATGAGACTCGTTAGTATGCTCAAACTTTTCAAATTCAAGACATTCATCATTTACTACTTACCGGTATAATATA